AAAAAAAAATTCTCCCCCTTACTTGAACACTCCTATCCCGTTGTTCTTGCCACTTTCTGAAGCAGTTCCTGAAGCAGTTCCAGAAGCCTGCTTTTGTGAGTGTCTTTAGTTGCACTGTCGTGGTCCCTTGATGTCCTGGATCAACTCAGTATGCTTACTTTTAGGGTCATTTTGACTTTGAGGAAAAGCCAGAGGTCACACTATGCCAGATCTGGTAAATAAGGCAGGTGAAGATGTATGGTAATGTTTTTATTTGACAGAAATCTCCATAAATGTTTTGAATTGATTGAGATCATCAAGGTAGCCTTAAAAAGACACACATGAGAGGTCTTGAGAACTGCTTCACAAAAAGGCAGGACAATGGGACAGGTGTGTTTGAATCACAGAGTAATATTTTCAGGGGGATCATGACAATGTGACTTTTATTCTAATAAATTTGTAAATTTTTTATTTAAACATTTGCTATATGTTTTGATTACACCTCAAATGTGTATATGTATAATCTCTAACGCATTTCTTTAGGGTTTCCTTATTTACCTGAGTTGCATTGTCAAAGCCTGAATTACAAGTCTATAAGAAATCAGGCCTTCCAATGATACCCTCCGGAGTCAAGTCTAGTAGACTCAGGATAGTGTCAAAAAAAGTGTTCATTTTTATTGAGACATAGAAAATAAAAACGATTACATTTTAAAATACAGCTTAGTTGAAGACATTTTATAGTGAATTTAAAAAAATTATTTTAAGTAAGATCATAAGAGGACTCGTTCACTTAGGGGGATGTAACTTAGCCCCTAATTCTGTGATTTTTTCCTTGTATTTCTATTTTTATAAATTCCAAGAAACAAACTTGCTTAGCAATTTGGATATAAGTGACTTGTCAAAATTCAAGTAGATTCATTTGGCTCCGAACGAACATTTTGTTTTGATTCAGGGGTTTTAATTTTCCTCTCTGATGACTGCTCTTGGTAACTTATTTACATAATCAATTTTTTGTTTTTTCAGTGTTTCCCATTCCCGAAAATTCTCGAAATGTAGCATTTTGGAGTACAGAGACTTTTTACAGAGAGGGGGTGGAGCCTGTCTTTTCAACAGACCAACAAAGGTCAGTAACTTAGAAGGTGTAGTTTTTTTCTTCAGTGTTTCACAGTGGAACAGTACCAGATATCAGATTCTTGCTTCAGAAAGCTGGTTACTTGTCAGTCAGATTAATATTTAATTACAGAAACTCTGTCATGTGGAAGATTGAGTCCTCTTTAAGTGAATCATCAAATTCTAAATTAATATTCAGTTCAGTGCTAGCTGTACTCCCAAACCCTCCCCAAAGGAAAAATCCTTCAGTTAAAATATCTTTGAAAATTTCCTGCTAGATTGTTTTCATCTTGCTTCTAAGAGGCATGGGTTAGATTAAGATTAAATATTACTTTAATCCATTTATCTGGTAAAAATTTCATTTCTCCTTGATACTCTTTCTAGGGACCTAATTACTATTTTCTTTTCTTCCTCACCCTCCTGTCTTCCTCCTCTTTTCCTTCCTTCTCCTTCTCCTCCCTTTTTGGGGATGGTGGTGGTGGTAGTCTCTTCTCCCAGGTAGGAAGCATTACTAGGAAACGTTACTAGTATCAGGCAGCCATAAAATGATCCAAAGTATTTATGGATGCCATAAATTTCCTTTAACACACTACTTCATAGGTCAAATATAGTTCATTGCTTACAAAATGCTTAATATTCTGCAAATTGAGAGAGCAGTGGATTCATGTTAACCTTTTCTAAAAAAAGTCGGTGTTTAATGTGAATAAATGACAGAATAATTTATTCCATACTCCTCATTAAGTGATACTGCTAGAGCCAGGAGACAGTAGCTTGATGTCTCACCTCTATGTAAAATCTCAGTAAAGCTGTGGAAAAAGAAGTAGGGCTTTGAAAGTGACCTTCCATCATCAAAGTAGGCTGCCCACCTTGCCTGACATTGATCTCAGGGCATAGAAGTCTGAAAGTCTCAAAGTGTTTGAAATGGATGAAATCGGTAGTAAAGACCTAATAAGAGCTGCTGGGATTTTTTTTTTGTGTGTGTACCGGGGATTGAACTCAGGATATTGTACTTGTGAGGCAGGCGCGGTGACACTGAGATGAATCCTCAGCCCTAGCTGGTGGCATTTTTGAGGCACAGTGTACCTGGCTAATTTTACCTAGTTTGCAGTGTACCAGCTAATTATGAGCACTGTGCCCAAGAAACAGCACTGAGTGGTTTGGAAAGGTTAAGGTTTTAATATGTGCATAGCGATTCATCATTGCATTTCTCAAATTTGCTGTGAGTAGGAAGAAAATTGTCCCATAGTAGGTATCCTATATCAAAGTAAGTTCTAGGCAACTTCATTTTTGAAAGTTAGTAAATATGGAATTACTTCCCTTTTTAAAGTATATATTACAGTGGTTAAAAAAGGAGTTCTATGGTTCCCAGTAGAATAGTTTATCTGTGTGTCAGAGAACAGATTTTTTTCCAAGTGTTTTTAGTCAATGAACATGTGTGTATATGTGTGTTATGTTCACAGTATCTATGTGGGCACTTTCTGTGCTTTGGGAATCTTCCCAACTGCCATGTTTTCTGTCTGGTTTGTGGTACTGACCCCTCTCAGGATGGAGACAGCTCTAAGAGTGAGGGATTGGAGGGCCTGATGCAAAGTGCTCCTCATGTTCTGGCTGGCCTTTCCCATTTCTGTTTTCTCCTTCCTGCTGATCCAAATAGCAATAGTGATTAGGGTATCGATTTTCTAGCCCTAATTGGACTTCTTATACAGGAGTCCCACCCAGTGTGCCTGGAAACTTTGCTTGCTTCTTAAAATAGTTATGTCTCCCTGGAAGTAGGAGGAAGATCAAGTCTTCCCTGGGTGGACTCAGTGGAAGGTAAACTTTCCTCAGGGTATAGATAGCTTCTGGGGTAGAGCTTTTCTCTCCCTCTCATAGGCATGGCTTGAAGCATTTGTGTTGGGATGGCTGCTCCAGTTTTCACCCAGGGGTGATGATCATGCCCCAAGAATTTCTGCCTTGAGAGATGGGAAATAAGCTTTTTTCTTTTTTTTCCTCATTAAGTTTATTGATACATTTTAGATATAAAATAGTTATATTCTTCGCTGGGATCTTGTACCATTACATGAGTATCTTGGTTCT